TTGTTTTGTGTTGATGTGTTGAAGCTTGGTGTTATAAATGACCCGTTGTAACCTGTCTGAAGTCGGTCTTAATTGTCCGCGTGTCTTGTCACTTTGATCTACCCTTTCGGTGTCTAAGTGTACAATAAGTACGGTGTAGTATAAAAAAAATCAAAACATCCAGATGTACCACAGAAAGTCCTCCCAAGTTTCTTGCACCAGGCAGGTCAATTGGGTGCAACGAGCTTTATTTATTTCAAATACAAATGGGGATTTTTCAAAAATAATTACAGCCTAAATTTAGAGTTTTTATGTATGTTTCAAGGCTAAATGAGATGAGACACGTTTATTTTGGACAAAAGGTAAAAAGGGCAGAATTACCCTGGCTTCTTAAAAGCAATTGTTCGTACAATTTTAGCCACAGAAGTAGCGAAGTGCATTATAATGCGGTTAAAAACGCGCAAAATAATGTCACAACTTTGTTTTATTATTTCCCAGCAAAGGTTTTCAAAAACGTAAAGAGGGTTACTTTTTACAATCAATTTTGTCTTTCTGTTTGCAGTAGTTTTGTATCAAATGAAATAACAAAACAGATCTCATGGCCACACCATAAATATATAAACTCCACCTCCAACATATTAGAACCCCCCAAAAATTAGATCTGTATGCATCTGCGTAATTAGGTTAATATCTTTGGTGAAAGGGGTAGCATATTTATTTCTTTGATCTTTTTTAAATAGGCGAGGAGGTGCATCAGGTCATTACGGTCCGTGACATACGCTTCATCTTACACCTGCCTGCGTTCTTATATATCAGAATCGAGTCACACTCAGCGTCCAAACTTTCATTATTCTTTACCGCAGCAAAGTCGTGTCCATAAATGAAAATGGGATAAATTCAAAGAATATAGAGCTTTAGTCGAAATTGAATATTTAATTGTGGATATCAAGTCAAAACTGATCGATGCAGTGAATGCGATATCAGTGACGATTAAGGAAAATATACCGTCTAATATTTGGTGTAAACCTATAACGTGCAATTAAGCGCTATCGCGCTCGCATTGGCAGTCGTTCAGGGTCACGAGAGAGGGGAACTTGAACAAGGACGGAGGAAACAGATCGCTGGCAGGTCTATAGCCACATTTGTTGACAAAGTATCACAGATCCACGAAAACAGAAATATCGTTACACCGTGATCTATGTCAACAACACAGGATCACGAGGTTAAGCGAAGGAACCTAATACCCGTAAGAGGTCTCCAAAGTTTGAGTACAACGTCGATCACAATCATTTGGCACAATCTTTATGCTCTCCAAGTGGACAAATATCTAAATGTCTCCTTAAGTAGCTGGGCTCGCTGTTGCACCACGAATAATAACGAAGAAGCGAATTAGTAGGTGTTTGAACTTTTGAACATGCCTTTTTACTGACTGCACAGTTCTGATATAGGAGGAATAAGAGAGCAGAGGGCTGTACCGAACGTGTCTGCTTCCGGAATTTAGACCCAAAACTCTTTTCGCTACAACCGAATAAACCCGGCCCGACTTCATAACTTCAAATTCTTCCAGTTCTCTTTTGAGGTGTAAACGGATTCCTTTTGCCGCTGAGCACATAGCGTCATCCATCATCTCTGTTGACAAAGACCCAGGTGGACACTTTTGGATTATGTCACCAAAGTCTTCAGTTCCTAATTTTTCTAGTCTTGTTCACACCAATTTTGACTTAGTCAAGTTTTTATTTTACACTCGACTGATAGACAAACTAATTAATTAGTCAGTTATTTAATTCGTACACCAAGTTCACCCTTTTCGCAGCTGTGTTACAAAACTTTATCTTTCAGTTATTTCTTTAAGAGTGCAGCCCAAGAGTTGTCGAGGCAGGGATCCTGGTACCGAGAAGCACCCTCTGTCTAAAACGTTAGCTTCTTTTTCTGGAAAAAAAACATATTAAGCAAACTGCTACCGACGTTACCTCTTTCAAAGTAGACTAAAGCTTTCACTGTTTAAGACCGACTTTCAACGTAAGTTCTGTTGTGAATCGATACCTTTTAATTTTTTACTCGGTCATATTCAAAGTAAAATCCATTATAGTGAAAACGGATGTGAGCGCAGCATTATTCACAAATGTCTGTACATTAAAAGGTCGTTGTTCCTTTACATACCAGTCCAAAACCATGACAATCTATTCAAGAGTAAGAAAATGTATATGAGTGGTATGACAAAAGCGAAATATGTTGTGATAAATACTAATTAAAAGTTCAAGTTGAGTCTATTTTTGGATTTGGGTCTTTTGAATATCGTGATATCATGCACTTTTAAAGGTGACAAAGTGGTTCGTCACGGCGGTCATGATGTGAGGATTCTGGAAAATGATAAATGCACACAGTTTCTACGTAAGTCAAACCTGTCAGTTAAGCATGTAATGAATATTATTTAATGAAATATTCATAAATATATCAAATTGTTTTTCAGAATCGTCTACCAGGGTCACAGAGAATTTTTTTCACTAGATGTTTACAGATTTTCCTGTGGTGAATTCCTTTACTTTCGAGAAGGAAATTGTGCAAAAAATAAAATAAAATAAAATAAAATAAAATAAAAGACGTCATCACTCTCATCGCAGAGGATAGTTTTGTAGGGGGCTCAAATCAAGCATAATGATTTTTTTCAAGAGTATGAAAGAAGAACAACATTAACATTTATCTAAAATGTGTAATTGTCGAAATTTTATGATCCAATGATTAATCCAAGAAAAAAGATACCTCAAACTTAGTCTGTAGAGGAGACTACACGAAGGACATGTCATTTGAGTAGGTTCAACTGGGCTACTTCAACCAGACAACGAAATAGCACAGAGAACTTGAGCTTGCGAGGGAACCCAGTGCTTTCAAGTAGTGTAGCATTCCCGTGCGGCATTATCTGTGACATGCACTTACACCATGTTTTATGTATATCTGGTACTAATAGGCGGAGGAACAAAGTAAGAGCACTGTCACATCATTCATTGAGCTCAAGTACATGGTCAAATCGGGTCAAGCGGCTGCATATCTCATTCAATGGGAACCCACAATCAAATGGGACTTGGGTGTCTTTTACGATGGAGTTCCAACCGCACTTTTATAGTACATGAAATGTCTGAATTAGATGAGCGCTTAGTTAGAGCTATGAGTGGGACTATCAGCCTTGTAAAGTGCAGTATCTATTTATGAATAGCAGAGCTTCCTCCTCTCGCTGTTTCAGCTTAGTGGGTAAATAGAAGAGATCAAGTAACACGGCTATGCTAGATAAATATGATTACTCAACGATAGCAAAATGATCTTTTGTCAAGAAACAGAGAATTAAGAACAGAACGCGAATATTGGAAAACGAGGACATACGTGTATAACAAATGCACATTCTGAAGTCTTTATATCAATTAAACAAATTTATCTGCTCTTAGTAGAAGAAAACATCTCCGACTGTGGAAGGTGCTGAGGAGGGGGGGGGGTCTCAATTACTCTGCCAGGAGAGACCACCATGCGCCAAGCGCATTATTCTCAAGACCCCTTCACGTAAGCCTGATAAGAAGATACGATGACACTCAAAACGAAATCCTTCGAATAAATGCGCCGGCGTGCACTTTCGGTGCCGCAATGGAACTCAGATAGGAAGCAGGGAAATAGAGTCGAAATTAGTTAATGGAGTCGAAATGGAATGGCCAGACATTTAATCTTCTGATTCCGTCTCTCATTGTGGATTGATTTTAAAGTGGACCGCGTAGACTCCCAAACGGTTAGCATTACTGCTTGTAGACAATGGTGTTGTCATAGTGTGTGGTAATGATGAGATGGCTATTTGCTGGAATGTCAACAGACGTCTGACAGAGCCTGACGATGACAACAGGCACGACGGGGTCTGGTCTGTGTCTTAGCACTCCCGTAGAACCATCAACCGACCATTAAATGTACTCTATTAATTCAATTTTAATTTTAATTAATTAATTTTTATTTTATTCATTTATTTGATTTATATTTGCCGAATCCACTGTTTTCTATCATTTCGAATAAAAAGAGATTAAAATTGACTGGGTATGAAAACTTTTGCCCAGCTTTGGCCCACATCCTAGATCTTCAAATTTATAACCGCTTGTGCTTAGTTTAAATACTATCAGAATGAAGCTCATTGCTAATCTGCAATTTACAGTTTCTAGATTTTTCAACTACTGCCTACGTTTCATTTCCAAACATTTTCAGTGTGCAAACATTATAATTGGCGTCACATTGAAATGGACAGTCGCAATGCAGATGCTTTTAAAGGACCATGGTTTCATTGGTGCAAAGGTCCATTACACTGCATTGTTGACGTCGTTCCAACAATGTTAATTTCAGGTCAAATAGTATCGTCAGTCCGTCCATAGTGTTTTATGTGCGTGTCGAATCCACATGACGATGTATGTGAAACTGCATTTGTTGAGTAACGTATATTTAACATCGATGACTCTCCGCTTATCAATGTTGTCTATTGAAAACTTCCACTCCTACGTGATAATAAACATGTCACCCTATCTCCACTCTTTGAAAATCTGACTTCTATTGATAATTGCTATATACGTTTATATTTCCAGAGTAGTTATATACAGTGAAAAAGAGCCACAATCAATATATAAGGCCCTAATGATGAAGATGACATAGTGTCCTGAGCACTCCTTGAACACCTGAGTATAAGAGAAAGTCCATGTTCGTAAGAAAGTCCAAGTACGTAACATGTTTAAGATATCATTCTATTCATAACATATCTTTAAACCGTACTATGATGTGATATGTGCTTCAAAGAATAAGAAAAAAGAACGTTTTTCGGTCGTTTTTCTCTATTCACAACAACAAGCGTCCGAAGTTGCACTCTTCTTGGACCTGGGTCTAAAATTGCTCTATTCTGGGATGATATTTAAAACAAACATTGTTTACTCATCAATACCTTCTATAGGCAGGTATCTCGTTACGGGACCAGGGGGATCAGAGCCCCCTACGTACTTGACTTCTCCACACTTGGCCTATAGGCTCTCCACTCTGGACCCAGTAAAAAGCTTACCAAGTTAATCAGATTGGTCCGAAAGAACAAGTCAAGGTCACAGAGTGCTTGGATAATCGTAGTGAAGTGTCATTACATTATTATCACGAAATGACCATAGCTTCACCTTCTGAGTCCAAACCACTGCCTGGTGGTGACCTCATTTCGACATCGGGAGGGGGGATGTGATTTGGCAGAGGGGAGACCGCGCCCCCTTCCGAACTCCCTGGGCTTAAACACTGGTCACTTAGAGAGTCAGATGAAGCATATCCTAAAGTATCTCTAAGAGCTTTGATATAATTCAGTGCCAGTCTCAGTGTGGTGATCTTTGTCACTTTAAGACCGTCGTCGCCCACGGGGTATGACGGTATGACGGTGCGTAATGTCTCAAAAGCGTCGTTCATTTCTTTCATCCGATCACGCTCCCTGGCGTTAGCGGTGCGGCGGCGGTATTTGCTGAGCGGCGGCGGCTTTGACTTTGGTTTCGGTTCTTTCCGAGTGTTCCTCTTGCGTTCAGTGTTTATGCGATTTATTATCGATGAATATCTAAAATTGTACTCCGAAGTAGTTTTGCACTCTCTTCGTTTTCTTTTGGGTCTCTGACCCTCTTCTATCGATTGTGCACCAGAATCATCTTTAGAGCTCCCTTTACGTTTCTCACTGCCACTTCTCTCTGAGCCATCAGAAGTTTGACTTTCAGAATCGTTTCTAATCCTATCTGTCGTTTTCTCCTCGTTTGAATTAAACGAAAACTCACAAACTGCACTTATTTCCATATTTCCACATTAAATGCAAAACAAAATGCGTAAAATAAAAGTACTCGCTTTTTGCTGCTTTGAAATAGCGTTCTAGCGATTCATAGCGCTCCAGCATCAATCTTCATGAAGGCGTCAAGTCACTGGCTTTGTAACTGACTGGTAGCACTATGCAGCCAACTATGGTTGACAGGGGATGAAATACAGTCGCCGTCTCTGAATTACCTTTCACAGAGTTGCCGTGACAGTGGCTACTGTTGGTCATTCATCATGCCACTACACTGGCGCTTGACTATACCAAAACAATCACTAAAGACCAGTAATCCTTGACCACTTGGTTTTCGGAGTTGCGAGAGTGATACTGTAGTATTTGAGTATGCTGTGCCTGAGTTGGCAGTCAAGTGGATCTTATGTATTCAGCCCCTCTGATCTTCTTTCCGCGTGTTGCGTAGAAAAGTTTGAGTTTGTATTCAAGCTATGAATGGGTCTCGTTCTCAAGTACATCGTTCCTGTCTCAGTGGGCGGAGATTCACTCGTCAGGGCGAGGGGCACGGTGCCGTTAGGTTTAAAGAACAATGCAACAGTTTCATCCTATTTCAAACTTGTTATCTCGTGTTGATTTGTGAGGGCAATGCCGAATGGGAAGAAATTAGTGCTCCGAAATTGGCTTGGGTTCAAGGTCCGAAGGATAATTAGACAAATATGTTGACAAATATGTAGTTAGAGTAAAGAATTTCACCAATTTAACCGCAAATAACATTAGCACTTACATTAATTTGAATAAATCAAGTAACTTGAAATTTTAATACATTTTTGTCTTGGAAAACGTGGAATGATAAAAAACTCGGCGCCTACATAGTAACAATAAATGCATAAAATGACGAACGTACATCTTTACGACAATTACTATCTTCTAATGTGGTGAAATGAGCAGTTAGGTTACGGTTGACCTGGAGAGTATCAGGCTCAGTCCAGCAAATGCGAAGTTTGATGTTCCCGTCATTTTTATACAAAAGACTGAACATCAGTGCTGCTCTGTAGATCAATGTGATGGGATATAAGAAGAAGGGCGCGGTAACTAACTATGCACTGTGCTCAGAACTGAATCGAATGAAAGAAATAACGCGATAAAAACAAACAAACAAACAAATTTCTAATATTTCTATATATCTTTTAAGAGAGAAATATATTGTAAAAGCAGAAAGAAGAAAACGAATCAGTTATTCATGTATCCGAGGAAAAGTTACTGATATTTGTCTGTAGAGGAGACTACGTGTAACATGAATTCTTTGCTCCTCTCGACTACCTCTTATTTTCGGGGTCTCAATCGCCGTTCACAATAAACCTTGGGTTCCTCAATAGTGAGGAACGGTATATAACCATGCTAAGTCGCCGACCATGCGGTTGCTAATTTCTATCAGATATGCAGTTTGAAGATAGAAATAATGTTCTTTTGATTGACATACAAACGTACTACTTTTGATCCTCCTTTTTAAGCGAGAGCGTTTTTCTATTTCATGCCCAAAAAGAACTGACTGTGCGGTAGACTAACTCCGAGGTACATTTCTTTTTTCAACTCCTGAATTATGCATCAAAGCAAGGAATTTTTGAATTACTTCATCAAGTTTCAGTTTTTTTGTCTCCAATATCCTTCCAGTGGTACCTGAATCCAGTCCTTAAATCATCTTGATATCAAGTTTAACCACTAAGCCCCTGCACTAAGCACAACCGTCAGTGAACCAGGGGAGGGATTTAGCTAGTTACATGGGACCTTTGCCCCAAGTTACGCACGGATCGCGTGTAACTGGAATATATGGTAAAAAAGGTAGCTGCTGTTGATAGCCTTAAATTATAGGGGATTTAAATAGACGTGTTGTCGGCACTAGAAAACCAGTGTTTAGCACAGTCCGCTGTGTCATTAAAACATTTCCACACCTGTGGAGTACGCGTAAGAGTTGATATAGAGAACAAGCACGAAGGTGACGGGGTGTGATGTACTAGTGCATTTATGTTATTTTCGTAAAATATATGTATAATGAAATATGTATCACAGGAATAAAACGCCGACAGCCCCGCAGTCTGGACATTAGCGTGATAACAAGCAGAATTCACATCGTTTTATAAAACGTAAAAAAAAAAGAAGTAGGTCTATGATTAAAAACAAAAGAATACAATAGGATAGGATACAAATAAAAAGGCAATTTAAGCATGATCGCAGAATAGGAAAAAATGTTTTTCAAATCGGACTCCTTCAATCAACAAGTAAGGCGGGAAGGTAAATTGCATTTTAAAGAATGGAGAGTTGTTCGATGAAATCTATCACTTCACATATAAAAGACATAAACCACTGGAAACAGCAGGATGGAAAACAGGCTTTTGAAAAACTGCGCCCCATAAAATGTTGGAGCCATTGTGTGCTACCGTGAATCTTAATAGCATCTAGTACATTAGAATTCTTAAGGCGACTATTTGAAGATAGGAGGAGCATCCTGTGAGTGTTAACCAGCAAAGGTTTTACGGTCGTGTATCTAGTTTTTGATTGATGATAGCGGGAATAATTCCGAACTTATCTGTGATAGTTCAGCCAGCGCTAAGAATGTTTTCTGTGTTTCTTTTATTATTCAACACCATTGTGCGTGAGAGATATAATATTACTTTCCAGAAGATTTATTGCAACAAATACAAAATAGAAATATATTCATATAATATTATAACTGAGATAAAGAGTTAAAGGTCAACCATTGGTATGTTCAGGTGTATAATAATTTTTTACGTGTAGAGATATGGACCTTATAAAAATTACTCGAACAAAAAGTCGTCTCGGAAATATCGGTGAAGAGAAATCACAAATGAAGCAAATGTCGGGAAGTTGAAAGGGGCAGAACTGTTTGTCTTTGAAAGATAAAATCAGGGTATCTTCATGGTCAGAAAGATAGAGTTTCAGCAATTGACGCCGTCTACTCAGATGTATGATTGCAATTCGAAGACAGCGGAAATAAAATTTACTTCTTTCCGAAGAAGTAAAGAATTCCGCCGCATGGCAAAGCTTGCGGACCAAGTGTTGTGATGAAGACAGAAGGATTGGGTTCTTGTTCGCTAGGATAGATCATTATTTTGGGTCCTAGTTGTGCGAGACTGACACTAAAAACAAAACCAGTGATAAGATGCTGCTACATATTCCCTGAAACCCGCGGGATATTTATATCTAATATAGACGTTGTACCTGTTTTTATCAGCCCATCCCCGTAGCTAATATCATAGAAATGTGATTCCAATAGTGTCACTTAAAACCAGTGAATTGATGCACCTTCGTCATTCAACGCTAACAGATAAGTGGGGGAAGTCCTTGTTACTCTTGTACGCATGAGTCTATTACGACCCACACCAAATGTCATCCTATCCCATAATAGCCTGAGGTGTTCACATCCCTCAGAAACCTGACCACGAGATGTCATTAACATTGCGTAACGAAGACGCCCGTTTGCTTATATTTCAATTCGATCTCTCTAGTGTCTTTATGCATAGATACACAGCGACAGTCGGATTACTCTAACCCCTGACGTATTCAAGAGATGGGAATGGGATAAAAAATAAAGTTTCGCTCGACAGTGTAAAAAATCATTGAAGCTGATGGGGGAGGGGGGGGAGGGGGGGGAGAGTGCATACAATTTTGTGCTCATTCCATGGACAATGCATTGTCAGGCGTCTTCTGCGTCTCGCATCAGCATCATTTCAGTACAACTAACGGAATTCCTGCAACATGAGCAGGGTGATGGTGCCACACATTCTGTCTCCTCGTCTCCTCTGAAATGTGATCATTTGGTGGACCCTTCTAAATGAAAATGACAGACCTTGTACCCACGGGAGGGCCGAATTCAGCATTTGTAGTTCTTTTTGCAAGATAATTCAATGACGATAAATACATTATTGGCAGCAAGTTTCCTTCGACAGATTTTTAGTCGGTATTTTCTTGCTGAAAATCTGTCTTTGACGGTCCAAGAAATAAAATTAAATAATTTATTGCCTTTGATAAAATACTAATTGTATCTGGTAGTGGACTGACTATACTGCTTTTAATTAAAGGGATAATAACTCTTCGTATGAGATCTATACTTCACAATAAAAACATTGTGAACAACTCATAGAAATATAATATATTCTGTTTTACCACAAAAACGGCAGTTATGGCTATTATTCTGATATCTGATCTTGTCTTTAGACCACGTGACCTCCATTGATGGCTATACTCTGTTATTATCTCTTAAGAGATTATAACAAAAAGCAATCTTTTTAGAAAAAAAACCAGGGACTAACTTTGAATGTCAAAATGGATTCATTTAACCATTGGTAAGTATGGGAAAATTGTTGTTAACTCCAGGAAAATTAATTTTTTAGCCAAAACGAAGAGTTATTATCCCTTTTCACAGCGAATACTGGCACCTGTTTTAAAGTGATTTCATCTTTCTACAATGAAAACGGTTCCATGAACTGCCCTTTACATTGCGTGACCTGACACAAGATCTTCGGCAGTAGGAAATGGTGGAGAAATTTCGAGTATCAAAAATAAGAAAGCCAGTAAGAAGCGTCTCTTTTGTATTTTAAACATAACATTATATAGATATATAAGAAAGGATACGCTTCAAAACGCACGAGGAATCACGCGAAAACTACTTTAACACGTTTATGACCCACTGTTGGATGTTTCCATAAATATGTTAGAAGTTTTCAAAGATTAAGATTTGTCACATTCTTGTTTTACACTTTGAGATCTTCAACGTCGGATCCTTGGGAAACACAAGGAAAATTCCCCGATAACTTGGCTTCTAATCTTACCCCATTTTTTTCATTATGTGTGCTGCTTACAGACATGTCCACCGAAGCGTCCATAAAATTTCTATCCACTCTGTTTGTAGTTTCAATTCTAGTCCCGACAATGATGTATTAAAACGACATTTTGTAGAGCATAAGAATAAATGGTTTTTCTTGCGTTTTGTTAAACCGAAAGCTCTATTGTGCTTATCATACTGTCCAATGTGGCGGACATCCATTTGTAATAAACCTCGTGTGCATAAAACAAAACAGTCAAATTAAGTGACCCAGGCCTATTTGGAGTAAATGATTCTCCGTGTTACCTTTAGGGCATCAGTTCTGTCACCACACCACTATCCATTTCCGACCACCCTGTATCCCTTAGGTTAGGATCCAAGCATTAAGTTAGGTTAGCATCATTCTCTTACAAGGACGCTGTTGGCTCTAATCGTTGCCTGTTCACACGAAAGTTGAAGTAAGGTAGGACACATAATTTAAATTAAAAAAATTAAAAATAAAACTTTAAATTATGAATGCTTGTTACATGTTAGTATTCGTTTTATTTGGCAAGGTCACATCAATTTAACACACAAACACAGAATAACAAATTTATCACAGTTTCCTTGACTTAAAAGGATTTACGTGTATGCCTGATATTCAACTGCTTAACTATTCACAAGGCCACAGACGATACAACGATACGTTGTGCGAGTAAGGTATACGATATTTTGAAATAAAAGTTACTTCAATACATTCATAATTTGTACAAATAATTCACGTGTATATAAAAATAATCTTGTGGACTGAGAGATCAGATGGATCTCCGGCAGACCTGTACTGGTAAAATGTCATGTAATTGTCGCTCAATTTTCTCGTTTTTATCAACGGTAGTCCACCGTCATATTCAGTGTTTATTCCAATTATTATTTACTTTCTCTTCATTCGCCTGGCATCACGAACCACTGTTTTCCATTTAAACATTCTCATCCACGTTGCCGCCATCTTCACTTTCCTTATTCTTACTTTTCTTTTTCTTTTTCTTCTTCTTCTCTCCATCAGGCTCTGCATCATTGACAATTGCCTGGCTAGGGGTCTCATTGGAGGCTGGCTCTTCTTCGTTTTCTTTGTCCTTCTCTCTCTTTTTCTTCTTTTTCTTTTTCTTGCCATCTTCTTCATTAACGACTTCAACTGTGTCATCCGGTGGGTTAGCGGCAGCCTCTTCAGTTTCTTTTGCTTCATCCTCCTTTTCTTTTTCCTTTTTCTTCTTCTTTTTCTTCTTTTCGGTCACTTCGTTTTCTACCTGAACTCCTGCGGACACGTCGCCATTATTTTCACCATTGCCAGAGTCTTGCTTACTGTCACCTAAGGGAGAAGGCTCGTCACTGGAAGTTTCTGGTTTCGCTTCTTTGTCTTTCCCTTTACTGCTGTCGTCATTATCAATGGTACCTTCCTCTGTCAGGACCTCGTCGTCATTTTCTTTACTTTTCTTTTTCTTCTTTTTCCTTTTTTTCCCAGAATCGTCCTCTGTTTCCAAATTGTCTTCAGCCTCCGTCTCGTCCCCTCGCTTTTTCTTCTTCTTTTTCTTCTTTAGTTTCACGACTGCCCCCAAAGCTGCGGCGAATCCAGTACTTCCTTGTACTTCATCGTCGGGCATATCAATAACCACTTGATCGTTATCCTTGTCTTTTTTCTTTTTCTTTTCCTTTGTCTTCGTCTCACCCACGTTATCGCCATCAATGTTCACAATGACAGAATCACTTGGAGTTGGATCTTCCTTTTTCTCTGGGTCCACGGGTTCATCTTTCTCTTTTTCCTTATCCTTTTTCTTCTTCTTTTTCTTTTCTTTCACTTCTGATTCTCCAGTATTTTCAATGACGGCATCAATATCCACGGCCACTGAGGGAGCAGTAGATAAGCTGGTAGCATTCGGGGCTCCGCTGTGTACCATGGACTGTGGTACGGGCGATAAGGGCGGGAGGGTGGGTACAGTGGAAACTGGCCTCTCAGGGCCTGGGGAGTTCGGAGCTTTGGACTCCGTAACAGCGTTTTTGTCATTTGTACTCGGCACTTTTAGCTCCATGGCGTTTGTTGCAGGCAGTGTCAAGGTGTCTGTCGCTTCAGGGGCACCTGCTCCCGCTATTTCAAGACTGTCACTAGCTTTTTCTTTCTTTTTCTTTTTAGACACGCTTTCTACGTCTGGTTGATTTTCTTCAGGCTCTGCTGTTTCTTGCTTCTTGCTCTTTTTGCTCTTGTGTTTTTTCTTCTTTTCTCCAGTAGTATCATCACTAATATCCTTTTCGACAGCAGCATCTACGAGATCTTCCAGTTTCTTCTTTTTGTCTTTCTTTTTCTTCTTTTTCTTATGCTCGCTCTCACCTGCCTCGTCATCGGGGAGAGCAGGTTCTGCATCTTCAGCTTCTACAGCCTTCTGTGCCAGATCTTTGAATCGTTTCTTTCGTTCTTTCTTTTTTTGTTTCATTTCATCTTCGGCGACGGCTTTTGCAGTGTCCACACTGAGTAGGTTAACATTTTGTGCAGACTGGTCTTTACTTTTAACTGGACTAGACGGGCGTACAATAATGGCCGGTGAGCCCGTCGCTTGTGAGGCTGGTTTTAATGTTAACTTGTATTCGTCATCTTGCGAATCAGATTTTGTTTTGAGTTTATTGAGCCAAGCTTTTTGTTTTCCCGCAACTGTTTGGTTTTCTGCCTTCATTTTGTTCAACCAAATGTCTGCCTTCACCTTTTCCCAGTTTACTTTTTTCACGGGTTCAGGCGTTGCAGGCGGGGTGAAGAAAGACGGCAATTCTCGTGGAGGAGGGGTGTAAGACGGCGCATAAACCTCCGGTGTCTTTATCCGTTCTTCGGGATCTGATGGCGGCACTATATCGGGTGAAAAGACCGCCTGGTATCTGTCTGGTGGCTGGAGCTGTGGTTTCTCCATATTCCACTCAAGCATGCCGCGATTTTTGATCATTTGTGTCGGATCTTGAACAGCAAATGGTGTAAAAACTGGGCGTTCTTGGTCGGCATAGGGCCACTCGTGCGGCGTCTCAGTGCGAAATTGGGGATTGATATCAACCATGCTAAGTGGACTAAAGGCTCTTCTCACGGAGGGTTTATTTCCATTACCTTGTGGGGTCTCAGATGCACTCATTGGCCTGGATACAAGCGCCTTCAATGGGTTCCGTGGCGTATTTTTCTCAGGAGAAAATGACCTCCCTGGGATACACTGCTGCGTGGGATCCACATCAAACAGTGGTGTCATCAATGACGGTCTATTATTGATTTTCGTATCTGTATGTGTGGGTGGCACATCGGCGTGTTCTTCGTTAACACTCATAGGTCTTATTCCTGCGTTTTCCAGTTCTTTAATTTTGGTGGGCGCAACGACTTCTTTTACTTTTTGGTTCGGGTCGAGAGCCCACATTGGAGTTAGAAGATTGGCCCGGAGGGCGTTGCTCTCTGATGAAGGTACATTTGATTCAATCTCCGTAGGCGTAAAGACTTGCGCACTGTCGTCAAACTCCCACGGAAAGGCGTCTCTATCGGGATCGTCATCAAAGAGTGGTAAAGATGCTTCGGACACCGGTGAAATTCGTCCTTGCTCATCGACATCATAGTCAAGATCAGTGGGCGAAAATAATCCGAGCTGCTGGCGAGGATCAGCCTCCGTCGGGGGTGGAGTAAACGGTAGTACAGGGACGTTCACTTTAGAAAGAGGTTTCCTCAGGCGAGGATCTTCAGGTTTCACAGCCTGCGCTTCATCGTAGAACGGAGTGAAGATGTTGCGCATTGGCGTTGACTCCACGTTAGTGTGATCGTTGTATCCGGCAGGTGTAATCATACGGTCTATCAACGACATTGGGTCCAGACCTTCAAAAGGTACCGGGGAGTCGGGAGGAGGCATCTCTGGCGTGGGGCTGGATGGGGGTGTGTCGGCTGGAGGTAGACTCGGGGTTGGAGAATCGACACGTTGGGCCCGATTTTTCTCGTATTTATACAGTCTCGAATCTTGGTTCGGGTCTAGATCGCCCATGGCGCTGAAACATCGTTCCAGCTTAAGAGGATCTACCTTACGAGCACGCTGACCTCTTATGAGGGATGGATGAGGCTGTAGGGTTGATGGTGTGAACACGGGACGAAAGTCAGGGTCATCTGGATCTCTACTGGTCTTTAAAACGCTCTCCGGCAAATCCCAAGTAGGACTGACTACGGGTCTTCCAGATGGAAGTGACGGAAATCTATCCAGTTTTAATTGTGAAGGATCAGGCATATCCAATGGCGTAAAGAGATTATATCTAAGTTCCTCCACTGCTAACAAAGCGGCAGTGGCGTCAGGCTGTTTTGCAGGCTGTTCTTTAATTTCAGCGACCTTGGTTGTAGTGGGTGGCACCTCTGGTTGTATTTTCTGTGGAGGTTCAGCCTCACTTCTTTGGATCTTTTCCACACTGGGATGCCTTTCTGCTTTTAATTTTTGGTCGGCAACTGGTTTGGGAGTAACATCATTCGACTCCACAGTCACACCCAACTCATTCGTGGCAACTTTTGCATCGTTAACTTCTCTTTTCCATTTAGGTTCTGTTGCTCCTTCTGGAATGCGTTGTGTGGGATCTGTGAAAGGCAAAGGAGTGAATATGTTTCTGCTTCCAAACAAACCTTTCCATGGATCTGGGTGATGCTCATAAGGCCGAGGTCCCGGCATCGTAGACGGACTCATACAGCGCTGCCCTAAGAGGGGGTCATCCTCCATCAAAGTGTTGAGAGGATTATTAGCAGTAGATTCGGTATTCCGCGAAACATTTCGTGGTTCTGTGGCTCCTTCGGGGATTACCTGTGACGCGTCGATCTCGAACAGGGGAGTAAAAATGTTTCTGTCATGTAACATGTCAGCCAGTGGTGCCTTAATTTCGGGGTTTGAACGCGCACGAGGAGCTGGAACGGGACTTACTGATGGACTGATACATTGTCTCTGTCGCTGTTCTTCTACGGCAATGGTGGTCGCAGATTTCGGCCTCTGTTCTGGTTCTTTTAAGTCTGCTACAGATTCGAGTTCAGATTGATGGTAACTGTGCGTAAGACTTACTGCGCTGCGTTTCAGATTTATTATGTCTTCTTTTTGAGGTGTCCCGATGCTTTCCTCAGATACTTTAATAATCTCACCTTCATACATAGGTGTAAATATCTGATCTCTTGCCGCAGTCTCTCGCCCCGTGTTTGCCTCATTCTCTGTAGGTGTTAATAACGTTTCGGTGCGTGGTGCGTCTTGCCCCAAGGGATTTTTCCTTGGAAAAACTAGAGGCGGAACTTGTTCAGCTGGTGTTGTGGGACTCATAAACCCAGCAGGTTTCTCGTTTGATGTTGCTTTAAGGTCAACTTCGGATGACGATATCAATGTATTAGCATGTAACGGTATATCAACAGTCACTTTTGTGGGTTTGTCACTCTGGTCGTTGTCCTCTGTTAATCTTATCAGCTCATCCAAGACCTCATCAGGGTCTGTTGCATTACTCCATTCATCATCATCTTTCTCGGGAGATGGTGGTCGCACAGGCCGAGCGACAAAGTAGTCTGTCTGATCTGCAGGCATGGCAGAATCATCAGGTGAAAATAATAAGCGGTCAATTTTAGGATCTGCCACGTCCAAATACGCCGGCAATTGTTCTGTTGGCTCAAGATACGGTCCTCGCATCGTGTATACAAATGGTGGCGTTTTGGGTGGTGGCGGCGTTGGCTGGGGTAGGTGGTGTAATATAACGTTGGCATGGTCACTAGGCACTGCATCAGCGGCGTATTCATCAGGGTAGATAGCATATCCCGGGGGTGGGGATTCAGTGGGAGTCAGGAAAGGTCTGTACACCGGGGTGGGTACGCGTATATCTTCAGGTTGAGGTGTATGCGAGGGAGTAAACACTGCATATTCGCCACGCTGATACTGAATGCGATGCTCTCGTCCAAACTCAGTCGGAGAAAGCAGAGCTCTATACACGTCATTTAGTCCGATTATTGGCACAAAACTAGTGTCCTCTTTTGGTGTCAAAGTCATAAGTTCTTGTGCGTGAATCTTTTTCATTCGCGGAGGGCAGCTCAATGCTCGTCTGAATTTGAAGTCGTCCCGTTGAAGCTCTGGCATTAAACAGGCGACCTCAATGTCCTCAGCCGAGACGCCTGGATCCCAGTCCTTCCAATCGTTCACAATCCCGCTGTCGAAACTTTTCTTTCTGTGCCTGGGGCGTCTTTGCACTTCCTCTTCCTCCTCTTCTTCATCCTCCTCTTCTTCTTTTATACGCTCCACGTCCGAGTCGTCACACTCTTCAGGTAAATGGCCATGGTAACCGCACACATCACAATATTTATTCAGAAGCGGACACTCCTTGGTCTGATGATCGTCCGTCTTGCAATATCGACATATAGGACAATCGCGACTCCTGTGACCTTCCTCTTTACAGTGCTTACACTTGAGAGTCTCGGCAGCCTGCTTCTTTTTCTTTTTCTTCTCAGGGGGTGGTTCTCCCTTGATTCGATTGAAAAAATGTTGCAAGTTCTCTCTCATGATAGCAACGTGTTTGGCGAGTGTAGCCAAGTCAAGAGCCACTATAAAGGTCAAAAACCCACCAATGAGTGCCATAGGTACGGTTGCTGTGGCAACGACAATTTCGACCGCGGCTTCCACCGGGACGGGATCGGGAGGTTTGACTACAATAACGACTGCCTGACCTGAAATTCAAAGAAATATCCATGTTAATTAGGAGGATTTTTTACTTAAAAAGCCAAAAACCCATTCACCTCTCACGTTTTTATCGTTCTTGCCTCAAACAGAAATACCTTTGTTATTCTAAAATATGTATAAGATGAATACTAATATCCACTGTTACATCCTTTATTCCTAGCCATCAACAACCAGTTAGCTAACATATTACACAATACAGCATGACGGGTCTTAGACCAAAAACCAATACAAATACAAATAAACCATAGGTACCTTGACACTCTGGTAAAGAACGAGGGCTCCACCCGGCATCCACACACCGCACTATTCTACTGGTCGTCCCCTCTGGGAACACAGTGCCGTTAACTTCACACGTGTACGTCAGGCTGTCTCCGTACATGTTCCCAGTGCCTTCCACTGTCATGTTAGGGTAGATTGTTATAGGCCCACAACTCATTACTGAAAAGGTGGTAATAATAATAATAATAATAATAATAATAATAATAATAATAATAATAATAATATGATATTTGGAACGGATGCTTTATAGAAACTCGTTTTCACGCAAACCGTACACAACTATTATACTACTTCATCAACACTAGTATTGTTGCCTGTAACTTTTTGATGAATACATTGCATTTGCTTAGATAACAAGTATGATGCAGAAAAGGCTACCACTTTCTGTTGAGCATGTACAACTCTCTAAATGACCAAATCAGTGTAAGCTGCTCAATTTCGCACAATTAGGAATCAGTGTGTTCTTTTAAGCCACATTACCTTGACAAGGTTCAATAGTGGCATTCCACAGGCTGTTCAAACACTGCATCATTCGGACTTTCTCTCCAGTGGGAAATCTGTAGCCATCGTTGCATGTCAGTATAGCCCAGGAGAAAGCTTCCGTTGAGTTGTCTCCCGTCAATGTGGTGTAGTTTGGGGCAATTATATTGGGGCATGGTACAAGGACGTCTAAAACATTAAAGATACGAAGTGAGTTTTCTAAATACTTAACTATTTATCAATTTATTCAACAGTTTACCACAAACACTTTGCAAATAAGATTCTTTCTACAAATATACGTCGCCTTCCATTTACTGTTATGTATGTCGATTTTCGCGCGTGTGTGTGTGAAGTTTGAAAAAAAATACGTGTTTGTAGGTCAGTGTATTCTCGCCCCAACTCACTTTCACATGAAGGGACGACAGGTGTCCATAGTCCGTTTCCATCACACGTCACGGTTTTAGTGTCATTCCCGTCTGGGAACTTGTAGCGATCAAAGCAGGTGTAGTTCGCAACGGACCCGTAATTCACCGTCGTGTAGTTCACTGTAGCATTGGCGACATATGGCGGAGGATCCGAGCAGTCCAGAGCTGGAGACAAAAGAAAATGATTTAGATTATTTTTTCCTCGAGGTGAAATATACGGGTAAACACTTTTCTTTTAAAATTGTTTTTGTTTAGCTTTGACCATACTGCCTTGATTTAAAACACTGAATACGTTACATTGCACATAGCACTACTGATTCAGGTCCATACGCACATGGGGGGGGGGGGGGGTAGAAAGAACCGCCCTTATAGCCGGGAAAAGGTCTACTCTGAATCTAAACATGATTCAAGATCTATGAACACACCCGGGTTTCAGAGTAAAAAGGTAGAGAATATGGAACCCCTTTTCAAGTGCTGGCTACAGGTCTGTATTTTCTCAAAGCAGAATAAATACGAAGGTTGTTTAGAAGAATACCTATCTCTCGGTAAAAGAAACTAACCACAACTTTACTTACCACAGATAATATTGCTCGAAGAAGAATAAGCTAACGTGGACGTGTGTCATTTACCAAATTACTTACTAGTTGCTGTCAGTGTGGCCGGGTCTGGAGACCACTGCTTGTCGCTTCCACACTGGATGTAAATAAAGTAGACCCCAGGGGAGAAGTGGTAGTTGGCGAGACACGTGTACCGAATCAGAGAGCCATACGTTGTGGTCGGATTGCTCCAGGGAGTAGCATTGGGTATAGTGGGCACCGTGACACAGTCTTTTACTGCAAGAAACCAAACACGCAGCATTGACGTAAATGTTTTAAGTATAAGTCAAATATACACACCACACCCTAAAATTATTATTCAATAAACATTGATATAATAATTGGTTGTTCAACAAAAACATTTTTGGATCCATGACTTTTGTGCATTATTATAGTGTCGCCTTCTCTGTATCTTGGCCCTGTAAAAGTCTGTCTTATATTTTCAAGCTACAATCATTCCTGTCAAGCAGTATATTCAATTTTGCTGCAATCAGAACTAAAACAACTCACTCCTGCAGTCACTGACGGTATCGTTCCAAGTGGCATCGTTTTGGCAGGTCACGTATTTCACCGTCTCGTTATCCGTGAACTCGTAGCCAGTATTACAGCTGTATGTGACGGTGGTAAAGGCAGCGGTGGCCGTCGTGTCTGGGGCGCCGTTCTGTATGGTTTGAACGGCTGGGCAGGTTTTAACTGAAACGATAATATGATGTATGATAATACGATAATATGAGTAACCCGTTTGGCGCCGTCTTCTATATTATCCTCGATCTCATGTAATTAGTGATATTCTTTATCAACAGATAATCATGCATTATATACTTGTCAGGTATTTTTCTTTTTTGTAAGAGAATAAATATGCCATTATTTAGGGAAAAAACTGACATGTAGGCATTATGACAAATTTAGGAACATGTCTGTGATTATTATGGCCATGCAAGTAGAAATAAAGCCCCGCCATTACACAGAGCAGGAGGCTTCTTTTGCGGACAAAATTAAATAAATAAATAAATGAATAAATAAATAAATAAATAAATAAACTCACGTGTACAATGCGGTGGTGTGACGTTCCACACGCCGCTGGCATTGCATGAGATGATCATTTCCTTCACTCCGGGTGAAAACTGGTACCCGTTGTGACACGTGTAGTTCAACTCGGACTCGAACAACGTGTTGTATCCAGGCTCTATATCTGCGTTATTTACGGTGGGTGGGGTCGAGCAGTTTTTCCCTGGATAGGTTTTTATTTTTGATATGGTTATTGACAATACAAATATCATTTTTGACGGATGCACTTACGCTTCCTCTACAGAATACCAATATAATGGATTTTTAAACCAGTAAGAGACAAGAAACAACTGAATGAAAAGAAGGTTATCTTATTTTTTGTGTTTACATTATTTAGTTAAAACATTTTCAGTCAATTTAACAATCGCATAGATACACCCGTGCAGGCACACACACACACTTACAGAGAGAGAGAGAGAGAGAGAGAGAGAGAGAGCAGTATACTTACTAGTACAATCGCTTAGAGTCTCAGACCACAACCCTGAGTCGAGGCACTCCACGGCCTTGTTCTCTGTGCCGTCACTGTGCTCAAAGCCTGAATGACACTGGTACCCGATCACGTTGCCGATGACATTCAGAGTCGAATTTGTCGTGGCATGAGTCAACGTCTGCGCTGTTGGACATTCTAAAATGAAAATAAAAAGTTTATTTCATGTATATAATCAGTGTGCAGAATATATTACATGTATCATTCTCATATTTTACAATCCACAACGATGTTCCTATCACCAGCTACAGATCTCTTTCTCGGTTATGTGTGCGATGTGTGTAGTTGGTATCGGTGTTTTCATTAATGTATGCAGAGTATGCTCCTGGTTTTATACAATTTTGAGAGAATTAAGAAAAAAAAACAGAACAAAACATAAACGAGTTCTTACCCCCTGGTCTTTCACAGATATATCCGTTGACGGTGGTGGCGCAGTTCTCGTCAAACCAGTAGGCCCCTGGCCCAAACACGACACAGTCTCCGTCGCCATTGGGCTCGGCCACGGGGGAGAGACCCCAGTTGAAATATGTGGTGTTTTCGTTGTTATTCAGGACCCACAGAGATGTACTGGTATTTTTAGTGAGACCAATCCAAAATTTCTGACTCGATCCCAATCCGGCGGGGCTGAAATACATTTAATTCTATGTGCATTATCTATTTTTTTTTGTAACTGATCAACTGTTTATATTCTAGGATTTTTTTAGTTTTTTATTGGTTGAACAGAATTTTATGCACAGACACAAACAACTATCTTCTTCACATTATTGCACATGCGCCAAGTTTAAAAACATTGGACAACAATGTAATCCAATGAAGTATTGAGTAAAAAAGATGTTAAAAAATTAAAAGACTTAAATGTTTAGAATTACACAAATATGCATCTGAGCACATTCACTCACGTTATACTTGAAATCCTGGTGTTCTCCCCACTGTCTGCCACGGTGGCCAGATATCCTCCCAAACCCTGGCAGGCAGTTTCTGCCGCGGAGTAGTCGACACTGCCAGTCTTCCTGATGTAGCAGAAACCCTGCTCCAAGGACCATTGGTTGGAGGGACACGCGGCGCCTTGGGAATAAGTACAGATTAGAACCCATATAAGAAATATTCTTATTTTGATAAACTTTGATCTTTAAACTGAGGAAGCGTGAAATGCGTCCTTTTTTGTGAGTTTATGAATCGTAGGATGTGGCCGATTTAAAAGATAGGACATCAAATTCTCTAAAGAGATTGCACAAAGAACACAGGAATGGTCATTTAATAATAATTAAGATGCAGTTTTTCGCATAATATCATTTTATGGCCAGATATAACAGAGTTAGGTGTGTTGAACGGATAAGTTTGTCTCAAACATATAGGACCTATAAGCCACTAATTTAGCCTTCAATTTCAAAATTACTTGTGTCTATTATATGGGTCTAACATTAATCCCAGCACATACCTTTCACATGGTGGATTAAGCAGAAGCCAAAAAAGACAATTGCTACAATCTCCTGAAATAAAAAATGTAAGTGGGTTTTAAACTCGTTGAAAAACGAAGAAATATCATTTTACATCGGACCTATTACCCAAATACCCAATTGACGTAAATATTTTATTGCAATAATTACATATGATAGGCCTCTGGCGCATTTCTATTATGGAGTTTGATTCATAAGTATACAGAATATTTATTTTGCCTACCACAATGGTAAATCGGCAATTTTCAATATCGGTGTATTAAACCTGAAAATCGATTTCCGATACGTTCTTTATGCAGCCCGAAAAGGCGTCCCGCACAACCCAGATACAGAAAACCAGTCGATAAAAACACCTTAATAAAACATGCCAACCTAACTTCAGATCGATAACAAATGGGTAACAAATAGGAAACTGTTGAATACTTATACGTTTAGGGTTAATTTTCGAATGTCATATTCTAATTCAATGCAAAACAACAAATATTTTAAAGTGATTTTGATAACTTCTGATTATTATCTGATCAATATTGAGAGTCAAGCTTGCATTTTAGTTATATTTAGGAAATTGGATCACGGTTGACCTGTTTCTTATCATTTTCACTTATTCAGTAAATTCAAATTGAAATCTATTTCTGTATCTTTGGCAATTTACAATGTTCTGTACATTGATATACTAGAGTGTTAGATATATAGTAAGAAACAAAAATATAGATATGTACTAAGAAACATTTAATCCCAAAGAGACCGTCACCGCATACGTTTTGTAAGTTGTACAAATAATACCTGAACAGTTTTTATTATTAACATCAAAACATATTTCTAGAAGGGTCGTTAGAGTGAAACTGGAGCAAAAATTGGCGACCTTTCAGGGTTTAAATGGCGTGAAATCAAATGTTAGTCATTTCTACAAGACAAAATATGCTGGCCAAGTAGGGGGGGGGGCAGCTAAATAAAAATACTATTTGTATGTTCATTTACACCAGCTTGATCATTTGTAATTAAACATCATTAGAAAATCCTCAGTATGAGAACAGTTTAGTACATACAATGCGATATCAGGACTTCAGTTATGGTCTTACATGTACAGGACACACTTACCTTTGCCTTCATAATGGTAAGAAATCCTAAACGTATGGAATTATATATCCGTCGTATTCAAGTCACATTGTGTCTGCGGAAAACAAGTCCAATGCCTCATCTTTAATCAGTTTTTTAACAAGAGAAAAATGAAGAGGTCAGCTTCTCTCCGCCATTTTAGTTAACTAAAGCTTTTGGAACAGATTTTAAAGAAAGGAAATCGATATATCGCAAGGCAGCTAATAAATAAACGTCGGTAAGGTCAATACGAAGACAAAGCATTTGTAACAAATCAATCATAAAATTTGATCCAAAATCGTTTAAGAAATGCCGAGGTCAGGTAAAGTTGTTCGTGGGCCGTTGAAGGAAAAACACGGATTCACAAGATCTACCACAATAGTTACTTCGAAACTGAGCAACACATTCTTATTTCTTGTTCTTTCAAACTGAGACAGTATACTTTGACCGCTCGTGAGATTGTTTCTATAGTATTTACTTTTTAACAATCTTTACAGGTCTTTAAAGCAGGTTAAACCGTTTTGCATTAAAATATACATATTCAAAAATGCTCCTTTGCGAGAGTGGAAAAAGCATAGTGTTCCCATGTCATAAGCCATGACTGGTATTTCTTTATTTCAAGTAAGAAACTCGACAGAGATGGTCAGTAACCACCATAAGAATGTCAATGACACCACAATAACGCATTTAACTTTCTATAAATGACAACTTTCACATTAAACCAATCCACAAAAAAAACCTCCTGATTAATTAAAGCGTTTATTAAATAGCACAGTAGCTTTAAATCTGCAGAACGTACAACAGGGGTGAAGCGTACATTAGACAATGCTGTTACAGTCATGACCGTCACACACCTGTAACTTATAAGGAGAGGGCCACCGAATTGTTGACGGGTTGTTTCTGGATAGCACACTGTATTCATTTTTACACTTGGATATGAATAATCTATTAATTTTAAAATAAAAAAATTCCTCTGTAACAGTTTTACAGGTGATTTATCTCCCCGCCATGGCCTCCTCTATCTCCTTTTTCCTTGCATGCCGCCCCTGGAGTTTGCGCTTGATGTTTGCATTCACGTTGTGAAACTGTTCCATCTGACGCACAGCCGTCTGCAAATTCAATCAAATTTAATTTTAGATAAAGGACTAGAAACAACCAACAAGCAGCAGCTTAAGATGTTATAGGCATATTTTTATACACATATTTCATGTAAATTAAACAATAAAACTATTGATGCAAAAAGGGTTTTTTAAAAACTTCTGACGACATTTGTTTCACCTCTCAATATACAACCTATTGTGAACCACTTAATTTGCATTCCAAAGAAAAAACAAAACAAAACAAACTAGCCAAGTTTGGTTGTCTGCATCATAAAGTAGCCCTGCAATGCACAGTACTTCAAACAGTATTGTTTAAAACACACACTGTGACTTTCTTTTAATATATCAAACCAAACTCTTCAATTCTGATCTCTCTTTCTAACTGGACAACACAATCTTCAACTTTATTTAACTTTTTTCAAATATCCAACTTCCCTCCTGTCACCGACTCTTTTATCTTACCGTCTGCTATCAGAAATAGTCGGAAATATCAAAGAACTTTTTTTCATTATTTTGTCTCCAAACCAGACCTGCTCACCTCTATCTGCCACAACAGCTCCACGTCCCAGTTATGGATGACCAGACTGGTGACAAAGCCAGGCTGTTCACTGCCCACTCGCCCCACCCTCCCAACACGGTGGATATAGTCCGACATGAAGCGCGGGAAGTCAAAATTTACTATATGCTGAACCTGGAAATTATGGAAAATTCAATCAATAAATATGGTATTCAGTTAATTGTAAAGAGACTAAGGTGTTTATACCAGTGGTGCATGTTTTGATCCTTCATCTAGGATTCTTTATCACGAATTGGTAACTGATGATTTTTGAAGAATATACACACAAATTTAATAGAAATATATTTCTATGAATTCACCAACACCGCCGATCTGCATTTGAACATGTGTTAATTTTAATATCAATTACTGTTTCAACAGTTCAAAGGGATTTTTGATCTGCTACCTCTCATTGCGGTTGCTCTTTTAGCTCTAGATAGACAACTATGATATGGATAGTGGAGAATGATAATGAGCGACCTTTTCTTACAGTGACAATCACATAATCACAAACAAT